GAAGTTTTTAAGAAGAGACTGGACAGCCGTTTGTCTGAAATGGTGTAGGGTTCCTGCCTGGGCAGGGGGTTGGACTCGATGACCTCCAAGGTCCCTTCCAACTTTATTATTATTATTATTATTATTATTATTATTATTATTATTATTATTATTATTATTATTATTATTATTATTATTATTATTATTATTATTATTATATCGGGCATGTCCGACCTGTGGTTTATGGGCCACATGTAGCCCTGGACAGCAGATAGTAGAAAATATTTTTTTTAAAAGGAAGCTTGTTGTTTATAGACATTAACTATATTATATATATTATATGCGGTCCAAGACAATTCTTCTTCACTCAAGTCAAGTCAAAAGGTTGGACAACTGTGCTCTAACTACTAGTTAGAGTAAACAATAACAGGAAAGGGATTTTTCTCCATTTCTTCAGAAGCATCTGGTTGTGAGAAAAAAATAGGATGGATCTCGGCCTGGTTCAGGAGGATTTCTGTTATGTTATTAATTATTGGTCAGCTCTCAGAATCCTAGGTAAGGCAAGATGTGTAACTAAATATACTTTTCTCTATTATATTTTGACAGTGTGCAAAAAGGTTTGATGAGCTGAAAAGCAATGGAAGTTCTCCAGTGGATAACCAGTTCAATCCACTAATGGCTAGTGGTTTGAAACCTGTAGAAACACTAGCTGGTTATATTAAATCATCACTTCTTGATGCTCAGGATGAGTTACAAGAACCCTCTTGTGAAAATGATGCAATTTCTTTAAATGGTAGGTTTTAATCACTTCTGCTGTTGTGTTCATAGAATTATGTATGTTATTTTTCTCCTGTTGATATATAGATTGCTTTTGTCAATAGTTGGTTCACTCATTTTTCAGATTAAATTAGAATGGATTTTTAAAATTAATGTTGGATTTTTTAAACTGTATATCCATTTTCTACTAAACATTTTGTGGCTTTAAAATAAAAAAAAAAATGACTTCTTGCGTAACTACCATTAAAAGTAGCTAAAGTAATTAGTCCTCAAAAGTATATCATATTTCTGTTATGTATTAGACAAAACCATATACATTATTATATGCTAAAGTTATTTTGCTTTATGAAATCTGTGTATGAACCAAGCTGTAATTAATTCTTTATCGGCTTTTTAAAAAAATAGTGCTTTCCGGGAATGTTGCCAATCAATTTACAGTCTATAAACCAAGGAAAGCTGTTTCACATAAACCATATAAGGAACCTATCAAGAATTTAAGGCATATAGGTGTATAATATACAGATAGTCCTCAATTTGGGACTGCAATAGGACTGGAAAATTAATCATTAAACAGTGCAATTGTTATGTAAGGCATCATGTGATCACACCCAATTTTATTGTTTGCTCAGAAATCACGTGAGACTGACTGGTGATATCTTGCTGGTTTCCCCATTGACTCTGCTTGGCTGACTCTGCTTGTCAGAAGCCGTCTGGGAAGATTGCAAACAGTGATCACGTTACTACAAGATGCTGCAACTGTTGTACATGTGAACTAGTTACCAGGTGTCCAGTTCATGATCATGTGACCACAGGAATGCTGCAATGGTTTAAGTGCAAGGAGCAGTCCTAAGTCAGTTTTTCAACACCATTGTAACTTGAAACAGTTGCTAAAGAAATGGTAGTTAAATGACTACTACCTGTAGTACAATGTTTAAAGTTTGAAGACAAGCTTTGAGATGTTCTCAGGGATGGCTGAGAAAAGGCAACTGAAAATGGTACCATTGCTACTCAAGATAGTGCTAGGTGCTCAGAGACCATGTCAAAATACTGTCATTGAATATGGTGATGTATATATCTCATGATGAAGTCTTACACAAATAGCATATGCGTAGGTCTAGAAAAATAAGGCACAACTAAAGAGCAGCATGAGTGAGAGAAAGCTGGTACAAGTATGAAGGAGACAAACTCAAGCATGTTGTATAAACCACTGTGTGTTATGACAGTAAAAAGTGTGAGAAAAGAAAGATTCTACATAAGAATTATGTGGCAAAATCATTTATTTCCTCCTGAAAACTTGCTGATTTAAGTAAGTGAGAAGGAAAGATTCTGTACGTTAGAATTTACCAGCCAAAACCTGATTACATATCTATTTAGAATATTAACATCTAGACAAATCTGTGATACAAATAACATAGATAAAGAGTTATCCCTCTTGGTATTGGGTGTAGTTCTTTTCAGGGATATGTTTTGTACATAACTTACTAGGAATCTTCAGCGATCCTATCTTACCTACCCTGTCGATAATCAGAGATTTAGTATTATCATTTTTGGGAATTAGAAGCACTATGTTAAATAAGAAAAACGCAGGCACATGACAGTGGATTTTTTTTTTAAAAAAAAAAGTTCATTTGTACTTCTTTGTTCATTGGCAAAGAAGGAAGAATTTGATAAGGGCAGAGGTAACTGCCACATTACATTAACTATTACGTTATGCCTAGTTCAGAAGTGGTATGTTTATGTAAGCACTATGAAACAAAGAGGTTTGCACTTACCCTCCCATAAAACATAGTAGACAACATGTACTATATAGTGGCACATAGAGTTATGCTGATTTTCCTTCTCTCTTGCAAGTGCTAATACACTCTGAGATTAAAAAGATTTACTCTTTTCCCTTCTACTTGGGTTGTATTAATTTTTTAAAGAACTTTTCTTCTGCAAATACATTATAAGTATTCATTTAAAAATTAAATAACTATCACATCATCCTTTGACTATGGAACACTGCTTACCACACATGAGAAGTAACACACCTCAACATTATGACCTAATGCTTTTTCTCCCCACTTGTATTTAAGGAAAGTCAAGTATAGCTTCCTCAAGGAATTGCTCTTCAGAAAGTGAGAAATGCCCTGCACTTAAAGGTGGAGAAAATGCTGATGAAACTGAAGGGTAGGAAGATGGCTGTTCCATTTTAAACAGCTAGATTAACCTTAGTCTTTTTGCTGGATAGTTATATACTTGGACTATTTCTCTATATTTTGTGGAATTTCAGAGGGAGGAATTGGGGTTTCTGTGGGAAGCATTACATTGGCTTGCTAAGGGAAAATAACATTCAAAATATGTGTTCCTTGTGAAAAATAAATATGTTCAGATCTAAAAATATTACAGATATTATAGTATCATAGCATATTGAATTAATTTCAGTTTTGAAAATATTCTAGTTCTAGATCCCTTCATTTATAATTTATAATTTATAATTATAATTCACATAATTATAATGTGTTTTATAGTTCAGTAAAAACAGTAGTAGATTATAGCAGCCTGGGAATAAAATTGGAGAAGTAAATGTTTAACCCAGGGTGACAGGAATACTGTTTCTCTGGGTCATCTTGGCAAATGGGATTATGGGATTCCTGTGTGTCATTTTTCAACAAGTGAATTTTGAAAGTATCAGTACCAGCTTTCTCTTTCATCTTTATTCAGTGAATCTTTGAACGTTTGCATACTAAGCTTTCTCTTAAAAACTCAGTTTTCTCAAGGAGTCAATGCACTGTAGTTGCCAACAGATTCATAGCAAGTCTATTTTTCCCTTGCTTGTGTACAGATTTTATCTAAGGGGAAATTTTCAAAACCGGTCTGCAGTATTCAGAAGTTCTATGACAAATTCTCTAGGAAAAAAAATCCTTATCATTGATTGTGATTGTAAAACAGCCTCGGAAACTTTCCCTCTAGCCAAATGAGTTCTGCTAGGAGTGAAAGTTCCAGTGTGTGAGCAACATTCACTGTCTGCCATGTCTTCTTCATTCATTTGCATATAGAAGATGAAACTTTGAGTATCTTTTTTCCGACGCAAAAGTACCTTTTTTTTCTTCTTCTGCTTTCAAAGAAACTTCTGTATATAGGAATTTCTTTAAAAATCATATTGTAATTAGAGTAGATAAACACAATAACTTTACCTACTAGTAGATGTAATTTTATTTATTACATTTTTGTGATTAATAAAGAACTAAAAGAAACAATTTCTTGTGCTTTTTGCCTTCAGAAATCAAAGTATTCAATGGAATCTAATAGAGATTGGGCTAGTTGTTAACACTATTGGATTAGAATTGTGGAAACCTAGATTCAAATCCCCACTCAGCAATAAAGCTCCATGGATGGTTTTGAGACAAACAATATTTTTGTCATAATCAATATTACTGGGCTGTGATGAGAAAAAAATTGGGCTGAAGAAAGAACGATGTATATTCTCTTGAATTTTTGAAGAAAATGTATAGATAGCATAAAAATATGTCCAGTAGTGGAGAAAATTAAAATCCAGGCTACACACCTGGTATTTATTTATTTATTTAATTATTTAATTATTCATTCATTCATTCATTCAATTTGTGTGGCCACCCCTTTCAACAAGTAATTGTGGGTGTTAAAATAAAAAAAGAAAAGAAAAAGAATTACAATAAGAAAAGAATTAAAATACATAGCAGCCAAGAATAAATCAAACATAATTACTAAAATAACCAAGAATCAGGTCCCTGCGCACACTTGGGGTCCTGGCCTGGGCATAGAGCCATATTTTAAGGATCTATGAAAAGTCAGCAAGGTTGGGGCCATTCTGATCTCTGGAGGGAAAATGTAACATAAAGCGGGTTATGACAGAAAAAAAAAAACCCATCTTCTTGACTTCGCCAACTGGCATTTCTTGAAGCCAATGGGATTCAAGCATGTCCATCCTGCCTGACTTTTCCAAATGTGTTTAAGTTTTGCTCATAACAGGATCTTCGATAGTTCTTAAGAACAGTTCAGTGAACTATTAGTAATGAATGGAATTGAATTTAGATATTTCTGTTTGGGCAAAAG